CTATCATGCTTCGAAATTAAATCCAATTTCGGTAACGATGTAAGACGATCGAAAGAATTCGCTGGTCTCGGCGGTTCTTCCGTACTTTCAGATGTCTATAGCATTTTATTGCATTAGTACCGTCAGCCAAAAAATATGTAATATTTAAGGATTGATAATATACTTTAAATATTTTATTTATTTTCATCATATATATTTTGTTTTGTATTTTATATATATATATATTTAGAATATACTTTATTAGAAATTAAAAATTTTTTGCAGCAGCAAGAAAAAATAGACCGAGACTCGATAACAAATTGCGCATTAATATCGAAAATATTTTGTCGTCGTTTCGACACGTGGCGCAATTTCACTATCATAATAATCTCAAGAACTAATATTGGTTAAGAGCGATTTCTCCCGGGAGAGACCGTATGGGACAAGAGTCTAATTTATGCGAGTCGCGTTCGACTTAGCTGTTGCATTTATGTACTCGCTTATTCGTCTTGGCCGCGATGCAACCGGCGCAATCGAGTGTGATTTATCTCCATTTCCTGTTTTGTTATTATTCAATGTAAACATTACGTATATGTATGCATGAATCTAATTAATGTGTATTTTTTAATAGCAATATAAAATGATTTCTTTTATCTAGTAGTCTCTAATGGATAAAATAAATGAAAACATTTAACTATTGAAGGAATTTATCAATTAAGATTTCAAATAATGTAATTTAAGAAATTAAAAATGTCTCAATTTTTCCAGCTTTTTTTTGAGTTACAAAAATATGCTATATAAACCCCTACATTTACAATTGAGGGGCAGACTTTCAAAATACGTTTTGTCCAAAATTTGTAATTTTCAGAAAACGAGAAAGAAAGAAACTACGCACACAAGAAAACTACGCACTTTACAAAAAATAACAATATGTCAATCAGTAGAATGTGAAATATTAAACAAAATTGCTTAATAATTGCTAAAAATGTTAAACAAATGCATTTTGTTTGTTTCTAGTTAAAAAATATAATGCACTTCGAAATGTCTATGTTTTTTCAGCATATAAATTAACGATAAAAAAATGCTTTCTGAAAATCTCAGAATAGCTTATAATATAACAACACTGAACACCATCTTTAACTAAAAAAATGAAACTTTTGATTAAAAAACGCATTTTGGAAGTCTGCTATTCAATTATGCTCAGAGTACGTTTTAAAGAAAAAAGATTGTATATAAAAGATACTATGATTAATCTTCCTTATGCTCGTACATAATCGATGATCCTTGCGAAAGACTTACCTTTGTACACCTAAAACGAAGTTGTTGCCAGCGTGCACTAGTGCTTCATGAGCTTGTCCGTGAGTCAAGCTGATAATCGATTGATCGTTCAATCTTACTACGACATCTCCGACCTTTAAACCCATACATTCGGCCAGGCTTCCCTCCGTGACCTGTAGATTACGCTTTTTTCAATCCTAATTTCATCCTAAATATTTTTCTTTTAACCTTTAAAATTTAATTACTGAGACAATATAATCAAAACAATGATATTTTAAATAATTAAATTGTTACGATTGAAATAAGAACCGTCACATCTTATTTACGTATTTCATGTTCGGAATATAAGAATAATTAATGTTACTTGAATCATAATTTTGTGATTTTAACGTCCATATTAACATTAATAACCGCTAGATAAGGGAAATATGAAACTCACTCTGATAACAGTAAGTGGCTGCGGAAAATCGCTGCCACCAGCTAGTCGAAAGCCCCATGGTGTGTTGTCAAATTTTGTAAATTTTATATTGATTGCCATGACGCTCTACATCTGAAATTATATTTGATAGACTCATTTTTACAATAAGGTGATAAAGTCAATGAAATTTATATATACAACATTTTCTTTTTACAAAATCCTAAATGTTACGTAATAATGGTACAGCGACACGAAAGTCGGATACGGGCTTTTTGCAAATTCCAGTGCTATTTTAATGTTGTTTACGAATACGACCGAGGAAGCAAATAATCCTATATGTATATCTTGATGAGTGATAAAAATATGCGTCATTTAGAGAGGGGTCAACGATTCCGTGTTACGCGAAGTGCCAAGGTAAGGTATGTCTAAAAATATAATCATAACTCTTAAATAGAATCCAAGCCGGCAAATAAGTTTTAATTGGCAAGCGAGCAACATGTATGATGAAATCAAATATCATTGAATGATTGATGATACATCTTTTTAACTTTATTATAATTACTAAATCAATATTACTGAAATAAAATCACAGTTTAATTTGCCCAACGTATCTTTTTTTCTTTATAAATTCAAAACATCAAATCGCGATAATAGATCCGGCAAGTGCTGGAGTTTTGCGCAATATAATCGAAACCGTTGTGATCTCTCGATTTAGATTTTAATGTTACGGAAGATCGTTTCGATTTATCCGCAATAATACAAGCATCTCTTTACTCTCTAAAAATTTTTAGAGTGAATCTTACTCTTAAGGATTGAAAATTAAATCACTCTTTTTCAAGACTGGCTCAATTTTCAATCTTTAAAGTAAGATTCCATTCTAAAAAGTTTAGAGTTCACAGCGGAAAAATCGAATTCCCAGTTTCTTCATCGAGCAACTCACAATTTTTTTTATACGTACATGATTCGCCGGAAGTATTAATTAAGACTTTCAATTCATTTGCAGTTACAATTCAACTTTTGTACAATGAATTATATACTCTCTAAATTTTTTTTAGTGGAATCTTACTCTAAAGAATAAAAATTGAGCCAGTGTTGAAAAAGTAGCTCAATTTTCAGTCTCGAAGAGTTACATTTCGCTCTTCAGGGTATAAAGATTCACTCTAAAAGTTTCAGAGAGTAGTTTAAGGGGATGCTGGAGTGCAAATTATTACATTACAGTCGTATAAAAATGGTGCAGTGGACCTTGTACTAAAATCGAAAAAAAAGTTAAAAAATTTTTTAACATTCTTTCGATTTTTTAGTATAAAATCCACTGCACCACCTCTTAATTTTGCGTCTACTTTAATCCTGTAAAAGGATTTTTTATTCCGTTCAGTCAATTCGAAGATTTTTATACAACTGTAATGTGATAATTTGGTTACTCCAGCATCCCCTTAAATCTTTCTAGCAAGCTCGTAAGTAGCATAATCCCGACGGATCAACATCGCAATCTCTCCTTCCGTTTTACTCCCGTGCGCGCCTCGCCGCGTCGACCCGCGAATCCGCGCTATGCCGACGCGGAAGCGGCGGTATCCGAATATAGAGTGTATGACGAGGTTGGTCCCGTATGCCGATGGTGCGATATATCCTGCTCGGTGGTGTCGTGTATATTACTTGCCGAGAGCAGCGAGTCGAGCTTATCTAGTACAAGTTGGGGGGGGGGGGGGGGGGGGTGGCTATTCGATCGGATGCAACGCGTGCCGCGAGGACGAGAATGTACGCGCGATCTGGGGGACTCACCGCTGGTGCATGACACGGCCGAGACGCGCGAAACGACCGCTGGAGCCGGGCGAGCCGTGCGACTAGTGCGGAATAAAACTAGTGCCGACGGTGACGGAAGGACGGGCCGGGCCCCGGCCGTTACCCGGCGCAATGCGGCTGAAACGGTGTCACGACAAGCTTTGCCAGAGGACAAGACGCAGCGGAGCTTGCAAGCTGCAAATACTACACGAGAGGCACGAGCAACCGATGACGCGGGCTCTCGCGCCGGCTCGAGGTCTATTTACTGATCGATCTATATTGGATTTGAGCCTCGATTTCCGGTGGCGAATTACGCCCGTCTCCGTCCAGACGAATCTGCGGATCTGAATGGATCCTAATAAAGTAGAATAATACTCTCGAAAGAGAGAGAATCTATGTAATCAAAATATCTTAAATTCTCAATTGTATTGCAAAAAGAAACTTTATGCTTAAGAATGAACTTCACATATATCTTGAGACGATACGAAAAATATAAATACTTAAATAATAAAAATATATAATGTGGGGATATTTTGTAGAGAATTTGAATATTTGTGGATTTATATGAAGGTTTCTTCAATAATTGAAACTTTAGATGAATAAGTTGAATCTCTATTTGCGAATTATTGCGTATACTTAAATTGAATATTTCTTTGAACTCTAACTCTTTAAACTTTTGGAGTGAATCATACTCTAAAAAGTAAAACTTTTAATGATGGAAAATTGAGTTACTCTTTTTCAAGAATGCTCGATTTTTAAGAGACGTTTAAGATAAAGTCCAGAGAGAAGCTGCACCATGATTTTTCTTGTTTTTTATGCATTTTATGCATAAATTAGTTATACTGCACTTTGATACATTTTGATGTAAAATATTTCTTATAATGATAAAATACAGGTAAACATTCAAGTAAATTTCTAGTAAATTCTTCCAAATTTAAACATTTGATATAATGATTATCTATGCGATTTTCACTTCTTGATTATATGTCACATCAGCTAAAGAAAATGAAATTGAGATGATTTTAACGAGACACTTTGTGTATTTACGTGTTCCCAACAATTATGTGTACCAAGTATGTCAATTATGTAGGATCTATTTACTGATTGATATATTTAGACACACGGGCGTCGCGATATCGCTGACGTTTTCTGTACTACTTATATGTTTCATGACGTAGTCTAAAAGATAAGGGATTGTGATAAAGGCCACTTTTGACCACCCCCCCCCTACAGTTCAAACGAAACTGGAAGAAATGTACCTCCATACTGGTCTCGATAATTCCCCAAAAGAATGTGATTCTAAACCTCATTATTGATTGTGTGTGTGTATACATACATCACGCACGCACGCACGCACGCACGCACGCACAGAGAGAGAGGGGGGGGAGAGAGAGAGAGATTTTAGCACTTCGGGTGAATTTTTTAATCAGTCAACTCTTAGAGCATCATAAAAATAAAATTTATTAGTACGTAAAAATTATTTTCGAATATATATGATCAAAATTACGAATATATAAAAACGATATAAAAATATTTTATCACTGTCTTATCTAGATCCAATTAACTAAGTCTCTTTTTCTGCTTCATCTTTATTATCTCCTTCATCTTCTTCATCTTCATTATCTCCTTCAACTTCTTCATCTTCATTATCTCCTTCATCTTTATTTTCTCCTTCAACTGTCTGGTTTTCACTGGCAGAATCCAGTGGTCGTTGAATTGGCTTATTTTTATATATTTCGATAATTTCAGTACTAATATTTTGCAATAAACTTGATGCACCGATTCTGAAACAATCGCTTGTCAAACAATTATTCCCCAATTCTTCCTTAATCAAAACCATCCATTCTAAAGCGTTTTGTGCAGTCTTAATTCCTCCGGCAGATTTAAAGCCAGCCTGTGAAAATGAATTAAAGTTATGTTATACAGATCTCGATTATCACAAATAATTAAATTGTTATACCTTTATTCCGGCCAGTCTTTCAAATTCTTTTATCGCTCTACACATAACAATTCCCGCTTGCAAAGTCGCATTAACTACATCTTTCCCTGTAGATGTCTTGATGAAATCAGCGCCAGCAAATAGAGCTACTATGGACGCCTTATATATATCTCTCAAGTTGAACAATTCTCCTGATGATATTATAACTTTTAAACATACTGTTTTTTCTGCATTCTTAGGACAAAGTGCACGAATAGATATCAGCTCTTGAAACAGCACCATCCATTGATGATTTAAAACTAGCGATCGATCGATCACAACATCTATTTCCTGTGCTCCATATTCTATTGCCAAGCGCACTTCCTGCAATCGAGTCTCCAATGGAAATTGTCCAGAAGGAAATCCTGCTGCCACTGATGCAAAAATATATTAGATAATATTGTTACCTTCACATCAGGTAAAAAAAAATATTTCGTTTCCTACCACTAGCGACCTTAATTACATGCGTTTTCTTCAATCTCTTTAAGGTATTTATTGCATCTTTTATTTTGGATGGATAAACACAAACAGCAGCAGTATGAAGTGGTTTATTCCATTCAAATGGAAGCTCCTTTATAGGGTTTGCAGCCTGTAATATTAATTAATTGATCAATTATAGATTTTATTCACATTAAAGTAAAGAATAATAACTCCATGTTCCAATTTACATTTTCACACAATTGTTCTATGGTGCTACTTGTATCGTCGTTATTCAAAGTAGTTAAATCAAGGAAACTTATTGCCTTTAGTAACCAAGCAATTTTATTGTCCTCTGTTATTGTGGTTGCTAAATAAGTTATTTGTCGAACAGATTTGTTTACTGCTGGTTCATTAATGTACGCCTCCAAACTTGTTAACCAAGCTAAAAAGTAAAATTGAAATATAATATATTAATATTTATATATAATATAGCTTTTTCATGAAATAATATAGAATCACAGAATTATTAATAGCGTTAATTAATTACTTTGGATCGCGTCTTTCGAATTGAATTCTGGGAAATGATAATCCATGACTTCAGAAGAAAACTTGGATAAACTCATATGGAAACTATATCAAACCGGCAGACTGTAATTATCGTACGCATCCAACAATGTCTCTGTTGATCTGTTTTTTCTTGTTCGTTTTATCAGCTGTTCCAAGTCCCAGACCTTAGCCTGATATGACCAATGTTCCGCTGATTTGCGTTTTCGTTTGAAATAAGACGTACAATTACGTATTCTCCACTGCTACAAATGATAAGCATAGATAGGCACGATACGCAAGAGGTACAGAATGATACAGAACTATAGGCAGTCATAACGCGTGGTACATACACAAATTTTTTCGTATTTACAATTAGAGATAACAATAGTTTCAAGCATAATACTTCTTGTATTTATATATTCTCAGAATTTATTTTGTGTTTTTATTGCGGATCAGTAACTGTTGGAAGAAATATCACAAACTTTTAGAGCTATACACACACACATGGATACATACATACATAAATCTACCTCAACGATAGGCAATGAGCTCTATAATATACTGGAGCACGTTTTCTCTATTATACTAAACTATAGAAAACTGCAGCCTGATAGAGAAAAGGCAGGCAAGTACTTGTACTAACTCTTTCCTACTTGTGTAAAACAACATTCAGCAAATCCTCCAAAAAAAAAACTACAATCTTTGCATCAGAATTCAGAGTGTCACTCACTGTTAGGAATTGGGATACTCTTATTCCTCAATAATTCGCTCCAGTATATCACTAGGTTTACTGGATCAGTGGATAATTAAAATACCAATATGACCGATAGTCGATGCTTAAATCTACACAAGGATATGACATCAGATTTTAATACCATTGTGACGTAACAGAAAAGCGAGTAATCAACATACGTCATCAGTGCAAATATAATTAAGATTTTTTTTATATATACACATAAATACAAACATACATATTTGCATCAGGGTTTGACAATCAATAAATATGATTTTTTGCTCATAAATAATTTATATAAATAAAATTAATGTTAGAGGTAATCTTCGAGGAACTTGCGTTCCCAACAAAATAATTTATGAGGTAAAATACTGAGAAAGCGTGAAAATTACGCTTCGAGTGTAAAGCGCACACTTAACGAAAACTTAAATAACTACTCGCGAGAGATCGTTTTATAAAAATTACAATCGTCATTAACAATCTTTAGTTTTAAGTGAATGGGAATTCGTACGGAGCCACACAGATCTATTTGCACTAGTCTTAACACTATCATTATCTGTGGTGCTCCCACTGCTCCCAATACTGTGAGGTCTGCATTTCAGCCAGACGCGACACGGTACGGTCAAACGCGAAGATTTCCTCTTCTCCAGTAAAGATGTTTGCCTTGTGATCCTCCTGAAAACAAAATTAATATAATGTAATAATTCTTCATACGAAACATTTGCGTCGTCATTGTGAAATCGACATCTACCGAGCCATGCGTAATCTTCAAATCGTCCATTAGCATCCTTTTCTCATCGGTATATTCGGACTCGTTTTCTGATAAAAATAACTGCGTGTGTGGTACAGCCGCCGACATAACTACCCGTACCTACACAATTTAATAAACTTTCATTAATCACATATTAGCCCTGGTAAAAAATTTTTCTGAATAATTTTACAACTTTTTAGAAAATTTCTGACTTTTTATGCAAATTAAAGCGCCAAAAAAGTCTATAGCTTTTTAGAATTCTGCATATACATGACTTTTGAAATATTCTAAGATTCCTAAAATTTCTCATTTTATAATTTTTGATAAAATTTTAATTCTGATGAAATCTGAGAAAAAGTTCACGGTATTTTTTCAAAAATTATAGAACTTGAATTCTCTTTCTCTCTCTCTCTCTCTCTCTCTCTCTCTCTCATTCAGAACTCACATATCTGAAAAATTCTACGAAAAAATGTAAACTTTCTTATTATTTCTGAAAAGAGTTCTAATTCATACGAAAATTCTGAGAAAAATTTTCATCAGGATGGCTATTTGCATTAACCAAAGTTTTGTCTCTTCTCTTTTATCAAAGTTCTCTGTATTATATAACTGATCCTCTAATGTTTCAAACTGCAAATATTATAATTTATAACTAAAGCCACATAATTCTTACCTTATTATCATACAATGTATCGATAAGAGTAATAAATCGCCTAGCTTGAGATTTAAGTCGTAGGTTCAACTGAGGCATGTCTCTTATTATGACTGTATGGAAGATTTGACTCAATTGCAAATAATCGCTTGCTCCAAGAGGCTGCGTGGAGATCAATACTTATATTACATATAGTTCTAATCAACATAGCATACAAATACTACACAAAACAAAAGACCTCTCACCCTGTCGCATAATTCCTCGAAAGTGGAGTCCAGCACCTGCCCGCAAGTTTTTCGAAAAGTGACATTGCGTCCTCTTATGGAAATCGTGCGCGATCGTATCACGTCGTTCTCCATGGAACACAGGTACTTGAAGACTTTATCTACGTCGTTCGTGGCGTCTTTGCCTTTTCTTGTAATTAAATGGCTTGTTAGACGGTGACAATATAGACAGTTATCACAAAAATTGCACATATTAATTTCTACACATACATGAAGTATATCTTCTTATTTCCGGATCCCGATTTTAATCTGTAATCTATCCCAGAGTCCAAGTTACTAACGAGGCAGTGATCTTTCAGCACTTTTATAAATGGTACAAAATTTCCTCTCTGCAGTCCGTTCTTATATAGATCATCTGGCGATCTGTTACTAGTCGCGACCACTATCACGCCATTATCGAACAGCTCTGTGAACAGCCGTTTCAATATCATCGCATCCGCGATATCCGTTACCTGCAACGCATCTGTTTTCATTGATCTTTTATTTTTAATTATACCTTACAAGTATAGTGTTTGTTTTCTTGAAGTAATCTGAATCTGAATAATATGAACCTGAAATTCATCGAAGCACAACAGCCAAGTCTCCTCTGCAATGTCAGAGGCAATTGGAGGTATCGGATCAAAAGGTTGCAGCTTGGTACTAGTCACATCTCGTACAATGGTCTTCTTTACTTCGTGCACTCTACTATGCACATCCAGCATGAAAGAATGAAAGTGGACCCTTTTCTTATTTTCAATCTGAAACATTTTTATTTGAAAGTATGTTACATTGTACCATGGAAAAATTTCATTTTTGTTCTGTACTATGCATGGAAAGCCATAATATGTGTTAATCGACAATCATATATACACATGGACTACTAATATCAATTTCATATCTGATATGATGTTGCGTCACATCTCTAAATTTATAAATCAAGAATCAGTAACATACATAAAAATATTTAAAGGTACCTAAAACATCAAAAATATGCATTATTTTAAAAATGATTTGAATTTATATGGTCTATCAAATTGAAAACGAATTCCATCTTTATTTCCAAACTTCGGAAGAAATAGATAACAATATCTTCATTTCAATTTAAAGTTGATATAATATATGAAAAGTGGGAGGTGTTAGCAATCCATGTGCATTGTAGATGTCAATCAAGTGACTTATTTATTCTGAACAATTTATTTTTATTCAAACCTTTATTTTGACTTTTTTTTGTTTGTTTCAATTTAAAAAATCTTTCTTATGAAATCTTGCACAATATCTGTTACTTTAATAACAGCCAACAAATCATGCAAATTACACAAGAATTGTTATCTCTGCTTTCAGATTGTGCGAAAAAAAACATGTGTTGTCACATTAAACAGATTAAGCTATTAAATTTAGCCTTCCATGCACAGTGCTTACGCATACAGCAACCAGAGAGATACCTGGCAACAATTGTAAAATAGGTCCATCAACATTGTTTTACCTCCACCCACTGCTCCGTAAATGTACAACCCTTTCGGCGCATCCCTCCGCTTGCTGCCGAACCATTTTTCCAGCAGATTTAATTGCTGTGGCTTATAATCTTGAACTTCTTGGTAAATTTGCTGCAGGGTCTGTGTCACTTTCGTCTGGTATGTATCGTTCATCAGCTCGCCCCTAGCTATTTTCTGTTTTAGAATACTGACTGGTCCACCATTCAAGTTTATGTTTATATTGTGAGCGTAGCTAAATCTCTGAATACAAATCATAGGTCGTACATGCATCAACACATGACAGAGACTATTCGTGTTAGCGCACGTCTTTGCGAAGTGATAAGACATAATTGCAGGAATATTACCTGGAAAGCAAAAGTCTATTAAGACCTATGATTCATCAGATTACTCAAGCGTCACGTTTATGCTACAAGCTTGGATGTGTAGAACAACTTTGATTCCAATTAATCAATTGACAACTAATTCAACTGACAGAATCATAAAATTAAATCTCCAACAACTACATAATTCGTCGTTCCTAATCTTTTTTTCCATATAATTAAAATTAATAACTGTGTTATCAAAACAATATAAGTATTACTTGACAAGCTAGTCATTAATGACGATTAAGTTAATCGGAGTTTGATCGAGGTCGCTCATAGTCTCAGAAATCTGGCAGAATAATTCCGTCGATGTTATCATCAATATTATATCAGTTTTATATCTATTAATGTATAGATGCGATAACCTTGAATAAAAAAAAATGGCAGGCACGTACACGTGTCTGGCCTAAATTGGACTCACACACGTGGAGAGCCGGATAGGTTGCACGTCGACTTCACTCGATCTCACGACCGGAGCAGACCGGAGCGCGACACTGACAGAATCCCAAGTCGAGGTCCACGCAGCTTCAATACAGGAGGAAAGGCCCGCTTTCCCCCGCTACGTGACTATCCGTTTAAACCATACGTGCGAATTGTCCCGCGCACTTGTCAGTGTCACGCGCTTCTGCCGTCCGCATTCATTCGGCGAGGACGTCCGTTTTGAAAGATATCGTTCGCGCCGTCATGAAAGCGAATTCACACCACGAAATAACTATCCCGGCAGTTGGCAGGCAGTTTGACCAATCTGCATCACCGGCATTGTTCTGCACTTATTTGCACTCTAGTTCAAGAATACGCTACTGGTGGCCCGCGATGTCTAATCTTGACTCGCAGAAAAAGAAAAATAAACTGAATTATTAGTGCCGAATTGTTTCATAAATTCTCTTTATGAATTATTTTATTTCATTATAATTGATTAATCGTATTTATGCTCAAATGCAATCTTGCTCCGTGTAAGCTGAAGGTCGATTGTGTATCTTTAAAATGAGGTAAAAATTCCAAGTGAGCAAATTTATTAGAATATTTATAATTTTATTGGTCAAAACTTAAATTTGCTCACTTTAATTTTCATCTCGTTTAAAGATTGATTCTTCCCACAATTGATTATTTGTATTTACGCATAATGCAATTGATCAATCGACGAACTCATCTTATTTCAATCTCAATCTACATGCTTTTCGCCTATTGAGAAATCTCTCTCTCTCTCTCTCTCTCTCTCTCTCTTTATAGGATATTCTATATCAATTTAATAAAAAAATATATAACGTATATTTTTTTATATAATTACATTTTGCTAATAACAAAATATTGAATAGATTATAGATATATATTTATATTACATTATATAAAACAATTGTATACAATGTGATGTCTACAATATAGATACGTGAAAAATATATCGAGTGCTTAATATATTTTTATCTACGCTGCATTGATAATTGTCTTTTTCTTTCTTTTGAACATATCTGACAAGATACTTCCGTGGGAAGATTAGGAATGTGGATAAGAAATGCGAGATCGATAGCCTTATAATACTTAATCTGCGCAATCCTATAACGCTTCGTGTCACAAGAATGGTTGTTCTGTGCAACAAGAAATAAGATTGAGATCTCATGATACAGTACTCTTGACATTCAATCGTTATGATAAAACTTTGGATAGACCGAAGAAGTGTATAGTGGTGGCCTTCGCTTATCAGGACTAATCACTTCTTTGGAGGAATAGTAACGTCTTTCGATAACTTTATCAAAGAATCTACTGAGCTTCACGGACGAACTGGAGCCCGCTGCCAAAGATCTTATCTGATGGCAATCCTGTTACAACAAAGTAAAGCAAAAGCGTTAGTCACATGTTGATTAAAAATTTCACATAACATGTATCCAATCAAATTTTAATTAATTTTTTTTTCAATGATACATTTGGCGAGTCTCAGGTGAGTAATCCTTACCAAAAATATTTCATCGGCACCACATTCCTCCGCGATGGTTGCAGAACGTCTATGTATGTTGGATTTTACGAAATTAGAGTCCGAGATCAGATCAAGCTTCGTGCCAATGACTAAAATTGGAATCTAGAAATAAGTGTTATTTATATATTTATTATACTTATGTAATTTGACATTAATATATCACAATAGTTTGGAAGATTATTGCCACCTGCGTCGAGCCCACAAACTTCTCAGGATCAAAGTCCTCGAACTTGGACTTTAAGGAAGTCCCATCTTTACTTAAAACCTCCTCCAGCCATTTCTGCAGATTCTGCTGTGATTTACGATTCGTTAAATCGTGGACTAATATTATGCCTAGTTGTAAACGACATATATTTGCAATCACTGTCATATTCTGTCGCAATTATGCATTTGTATGTCAAACAAATATGGATATTGATATTTAATCATTATAAAATTTGGTTATACCGTTTGTGGGATTGTAAAATACAGATCTTGTGTTTTTGTGATTTTGGCTGCCACCGACATCCCACAGCTCGACAAAGTATCTCCTTTGATTCGGTGTGCCTTCCTTGTACTCGTGCAACTTGACTTCTACCGAACAACCTATTGTCCAAGCAGGATTGCCGATAGGTTGCTGTTGGCATATTAAATGTGTCAGCGATGTTTTACCGACTCCTGCAATAATAAAGATATTTATCATTATTATATTTATCACTATTATGATACATTTTCTCATAAAAGTAATGTTCCTTTTACAACAGTTCATAATTTGCACATATTATATTTGTTTTTTATCACAGCACTGCACTAAATTTTCTTTCTCGCTTTTGCCAAATATCAAACATATAATTAGATCTATTCTTTTTAACTTCTTGCACAATTCATTTTTTCTTTTTTTATTCAATGTAAAAAGAAAAAAAGGAAAGATGAATTGTGTAAGAAGTTCGGTTTAAAAAAAGGGCTACTAATTTCTTTTTAAATACAAAGAGTACTCACTCAATTTAGTTATAAAAAACAATTCTGTTATCGAATAATTATACATAACCTAAATGTATAAATGTTAAAAATATCTCTGATATGAATAAAAACATTAATGATAGCAAGAAATATCATTATCATAATATTTATCCCAAGTTTCACTTGACTTTATTCAAATAAAATATTGCAGAATATCGATAATATTCCAGAAAAAAAGATTATTGTATGTTTAAAATATTAAATATTTTTCGCGTGCTCACCTGAGTCGCCTACTACGATAATTTTAACTTTATCGATCGCTGCCATTGACAAATCTTATTAAAATTCTTTATACGTGAATTATACGTACGAAAATTTTTAACATTTGACAGTTGACGGATCGCAGTCATTTAGCAGACGTGTTGATAGCAGTGCCACGCAGTTTTCCATGCAATACGCATGCGTGTATCTAGTGAAAAGACTAGTGAGATATAAGAAAACATCATCTTTTTATTTTCTTTGTCAATATTTTCCTTCAACTATTAAAGAAAAGATTTTGTTTTTCTTTTAATAAATTTTTATTAATAAAAAAACATCACAATGCTACCAAAGATCAATCTGCGAATTTTAATTTCCCTAGGGATTTATTCGAGGAGCAAAGTCTGCGCATGCGCGGCCAGAGACGGCCAAACGCTGGCAGACGCGTTCTCGGAGCCGCGCACGTATTCCGCCGTGCGCGCTCACGGCGCAAATGGCGCAATACCGCAATTGCGGGATTTTCCTGATTCTAACCTAAAGACTGCCTAAAGATAGTCGCGAATGTCGCGATCATAAGTGCATCGCGCGTTGATGGGCAATATTGTGCTTTCGTGATTTTTCCAACATTCCTGAAACGTAGGGCGACTGAGGGCGACGTTCCAGCTCAGGATAAATATAGCGAAAGAAGAAGGAGAAAATTCTGATCTTTGTAAGAATTCGTGGTGTGATATTTGTATTCATGAAGCTTTTGTCTTTTCCATTTGTCAGTATTTTACTATAAAATATCTTTTTTTTTTTAGCAAAGTAAGTAGATCCGATTTCTAGGAGAAGAATGAAGATACGCTTACAATTCTACAAGTACAGCGATCGTATTTTTGGAGAATGTGTGTGTGATTATCGTAAAGTGCGTTTGACATGAAACTGTGAGCTTGGCATGTGAACGGACAGTAAACGTAATAATAACGATAATATTATTGGCAAAATTATTGTTATTCGACAACGATATCGATATTGTTAGAAAATCATTTTTATCATCTAAAATATGAGCGTCGAGGAGAGACTTGTCACTGAGGTACCTAGTAGCTTGAAGAAACTGGCACGCCTTGTTGTACGTGGGTTTTATTCGATTGAAGATGCTTTAATTGTGGATATGCTAGTCAGAAATCCATGTAAGTAATTATATACTGATTTAGAAAATATTTCATTTAATTGAAATGATATTTAACAATAAAATATCACCAGGTATGAAAGAAGATGACATTTGTGAATTGCTTAAGTTTGAACGCAAAATGTTAAGAGCTAGGATATCCACATTGCGAAATGATAAGTTCATTCAAGTGAGATTGAAAATGGAGACAGGATCAGATGGCAAAGCACAGAAAGTCAACTATTACTTTATTAATTATAAAGTAGGTAACATGGTTATGACTTTCTTTAACTTGATGAAAAATACTAGCAAATGGAAGAATTATTAAAAAGAGTTTATATCTTTGTTCGGGTTCGACTCCCGACCGAGGCATTATTTTTCGCAATAAGTTTTATTACAGTTTTTAAGTTGGGGAATTTGGGGGGATTATTAATATTTTCAGATTTGATTGCGTTGAAAGTCCGACAACCATATCGGCAAGCATTTATCATTTCTGAAATTAATTCATTTAAATGAATTTACAATAGTTCAACATCTTAACGTTCTGACCGTTATGGCGCTTCTTAATTTAAAATTATTATGTTTAACATTAGCGGTCTTTCAATCTTATTATTGTTTATATCTTTGTGTTTTAGACGTTTGTAAATGTGGTGAAGTATAAACTCGATTTAATGAGAAAGAGAATGGAAACCGAGGAGAGAGATGCAACCAGTAGAGCCAGCTTTAAGTGTCCAAGTTGTTTAAAGACATTTACTGATCTTGAGGTAAGTATGGCAGTGTGGTATGTTTGATGTAATCTTAAGAATTGAATTAAGAAAATTTATTTTTTAAGAAAAAACAGTTTGTTTTTATCCTGTTTCATTATAATTAAATGATATATTAACTAAAACAATGTGTTTAAAAAACAGACCCATTACAATTTTATATTGTGATAGATCTGTTTTTTTTTTATTTCTGTGCTAGACTGCATTAAAACTGACTCTTGCTTTCACCAAATATCAAATATGTTTCTTTCACTTTTCAAGTTGCAAAAGTATACACTAGACAACAAATCTGTTAATTTAAAGTACATGGTTTATGTAACACATGGATTTTATTAAATTCTTGTACAGGCGGATCAACTTTTCGACATGAGAACCGGCGAGTTTAGATGTACATATTGTCGAGAGATAGTGGAAGAAGATCAGTCTGCTCTTCCAAAGAAAGATTCCAGATTATTATTAGCAAAGTTTAATGAACAGTTGGAGCCTCTCTATATATTATTAAGGGAAGTAGAAGGGATCAAATTGGCGCCTGAAATACTGGAACCAGAACCCATTGATATCAATACTATTCGAGGGTATGTGTTTCTAAAGAAATGTTCATGTATAAAGATATTTATTAAAATAATTATTTTGAATAGTATCGACACAAGAAAACCGAGCAGTCTTAGAGCACCTAGCGAACAGTGGTCGGGTGAAGCTACTAGAATGACCGGCTTCATAGTGGAGGATACTAGAGTAGATGTTACTATTGGAGACGAATCTCCCGATGACGCGTTAAATCACAGAAAGGAGAGACCCATATGGATGATGGAAAGTACAGTTATGAATTCCGATGGTTCACAGGTATTATTTCTGTTATTCTATTGCAGCTTTTCCTTAAGCCTGAGATACAATTGAAAAGCGCAGACAAAAGGAACAGGGACTAAATCAAGCTATTAGAAACTGTATTCTAATAGGTTGAAATCTGTTATCTCTTGTTCTTGTTGCTTTTCAATTGTGTCTTAAGTTACATAAATCTTATTCTTTATTTTCGAATGTCTTACAGCCTGACGGCGTGAACGCGCAAGATAGCATATTGGACAAAGCTGCAGCCACTGCCACAAACATGACTACGACGAATAATAAACAGGG